TGGCGGTGGCGGCCACGGTGGACATCCTGGTGAGGCTGCAGATGCTGAGCCCCAGAACTAATAAAGCCAGCTTCTAGCTAGGTCATGATTAATCATGAACGCTTAAACAGGCTTACTATAATAGTATGTACTTTGTAATGTGAAATTCAAATAAGTGCTGGATCAGTGATCCTGTAATATGTACTCCATGTAATATGAGTTTGTGATTTTGTGTATCTTTTTTGAGCACTTTTGAGGTGATGGCAAAATCTTTTCATGCAATACGGAGTCAATTTTGCAAGTTTCCACCAAAAAATGAGTAATTTTAGTATTTCAAATTCACAATAAAGCCAACACTAGTTTTTGGTTGGTTTTATCTGTCAATCAATAAACCATTATCAAATTGCTCCTTTTTTTCTTTTTCTTTTTTTTTCTTTTGGGTATACTTAAATTAACCAATGCATATATTTTCAAAAAACCCTCACTTAGGTATGTATCCGTCTAATATTTAGTCTAGCCATACATAAAGTGATGTCAAAAGCATACAGAAGATCATAGCACAAATGCCTGAAGTCTAATTGACTAGTTGATAATGAGTGTGACAGATTGAGCATATTCTCAAGTATAAAAGAAAGGTAGATTACAATGAATTTCAGCCTCGGATTAACACTTGTCCATGACGATTTTGGAGGGCAAATTAATGGTTCGGGTAAATGACTCCAATAGTCCGTCAACTTTAATCAGTGATCCTATTTTGATCCAATAAAACATTAATCCAATAAAACTAAGGAGATTTAAGAAAAGTGAGTTCTTTTCCTTTTATCAATTTAATTTCATTTGTATATTTAATATTGTAGAGTATATGATAATTTTGACTATACAAAGAAAGATAAAAGTAAATAATAATTCCTGTATTTTTTACCTAAAAAAAGCAAACAAAGAAATAAAAGTAAAAAATGTAAGGTTAAACTTTTATTTCAATTTTTTGGCATCCTTTTAATGTAAAAATTTGTCGTCTTCTCCAAAGTATAGACTACCCAAAAATATTGTCTTATTTTCCCTAAAGTCTTTTATTATTCATTTTTTTTAACCAAAAAGCTTGGATTTTATTGCCTCAGAACAGTTCTTGAGAGGGACAAAAGCCTGACCTCAACGATACAAGACAGCTACAAGACACCTACTTACTTAACTCAACGTCGCCGAATAGACGGGTGGGATAGTTTATTCAACCGATATTCACCCCTAACTACACCTGGTAAGTCCATGAAATGTTCATAAATACATACTGACTCAACCAAGGCACACCCCACATTAACTAGAACATCCGCAACCTTATTGGCCTCACGATAGCAATGCTTGAACTGTACAATCCCCTGAGAGAACTCGCAACACTGCTCGATCTCATAACTAATCGTCCACGGGCATTGGTAATCGTTCCTCAAAATCTTTATTAGCACTAGCAAATCCGACTCAACCACCAACTGCTGTAAAAAATTCCTCTGGGCACATAGACTCAGCCCAAGCACTAACGCTTTGGCCTCGGCCTGCAAGTTAGTAGCAACATCAAAGCAACCAGCGAAAGCGAAGATAAACTTCCCTGAGCCATCCCTAAGAATCCCCCCACCACCACTCAACCCTGGGTTTCATTTGGAGCACCTATCTATGTTAAGTTTAAACATTGCCAGCCTTGGAGCCTGCCAATGAACCAGATGAAACTTAACCACATTAGGGCGCTGCTCCACCAATCCCAAGAATTGGGGCCAAGATGCGACCTGTTATAATTCCCCAAATTTCATCCAGTATGCGTCTTTCAAGTTTTGAAAAATAGCTCGACAAACAGATCGGACATCCTTAATAACCCCTTCAAATACTGCTGAATCCCTCGTCTTCCATAAATTCCAACACACAAAGTTAATCTTTGTCTTCAAATTCCTCGTCTTCAAATACTGCTTAATCTTTGTCTTCGTATATATCACTTTCAGTCATGACTTCAGGCTGAATAATAATGATAACAATATATTAAAGTTAGCAAAATTCTATAAGGCAATATTAGGTTTGTTATATTTTCTTAAAGTGAAAATTTTCATTTCTTTTAGTTTGCATAATTTATTGGAAGGATAATACTGTTGTTTTTGGTTAGTTGACAGGCGTCAAACCTGTGCAATAATAAATACCTGCTTAAATAAAATACAAATTCTGTATATAGCGGTAAGCAGGGTCGAATCCACAGGGACTGGGGATAATTTAATTTCTTCTCAAGTTCCAGATATGGGGGGTTTTGAAAATGATAGTAACTAAATTACTTGGAATAAATTAATTAAAATAAAATAACTACAACTCAAATAACTAATTATCACAATAAAAATAATAATGGACGAACTCTAACCAAGAGACAACTTCGGAGATGGTTCACTTAATTCGATCACAGATGCAAGGATTATTCCAGTTACTATCTGATAAATTAGTTATAGTTGTCATACACGCGATAAACAACCAACTCTTCCTCAATTTGTCGATAGCCAAGGTACGACCGTTGACTATTTCTCTAATCAGGAAATAACCCTAGGTACGACCATAGAAGTTCAATTCCCTAATTGCATGAATAATTAGAAGAGCCTAATTCTAACCAATCAACACGCTACGAGGGTCTCTTTAAGTTAGCCTGCCTATCTCCCTGACACAAACCCAATCATGCCAGTTGCCACCAGTTTAGAATAATTAAACAATTACGGATTTAACTACCCTAATTGGCTTCAAGTTATTGAATTAATCTAGAATCCGGGCCCTGGATAATCGAATAATAAAACAACCATATGAACATAAAGCAGGAGATAGACAAATACCAGTGAATAATGGGAATAAATAAAAACTAATTCGATCTCACAAATTTAGTAGAACCAAATCCTCCGTTGTTCTTGACTAGACAAACTTAGCCACGGCTCATGAGAAAATCTTCAAGTAATTTCACTGAGGTCCAGGCCATCAAAAGAGCCAAGAAAGAAACGAAAAAACTAAAACTATCCTAAAGCTTCGATAAGAACTAAAGATAAAAAGTATTCATCCCAAAACCTTCTCTACGTTTTACTTTTTAAAGCCAAAGGGAACAATGACATAATGCTTCCTACTCCGTGGTCCCCACCAAAATTGAAAGCCTTGTACGTTTCTTTTCCTAGAGTCCAAATGACTCATGCTTCTTATCCGTGGTCCCCGCACATGTGGACAAAGCCTCCAAAGTACTTGTTGTTCCAAGTCTCTCTACGTTGCTTTCTTTGAAAAGCCCAAATAACTAAATGCCTTGCACTAGCTTGTGGTCCCCACCAATTCAATGACCTAAAGGTTGAAGCCCTTAGAAGTCTGCATTTTTCCATACAAGTCCCTCCTTTTTGGTAATTTTCTGCTTCACTCCTGAAATTGATTCCAAATACCAAATATGAGTAAATATCAGCAATTAACACAATATTTGTCAGGGATAGAATGGGAAATCAATAATAAATTTACTAACAAATTATACCCTATCATTAGTCGACTCAGTCAATCATTAAATACTTAATCATTAGAATGTTTGTGCTAAGGAGGACACTCTGTGGGCAAGACGAGTGCACAGTGCTTTCATTGTCCTCAAACTAATTCATTTTAAAAAATAATAATTCATTTTAACCAATTTAATCCTCAAATTAATTTTTCACTTTCAATCATAGGTAAGAACTCCACATCCCTTGGAAATGTGATATTTTTATAAATTTAGTCCTGTATGAAAATTATGCTCAACCTCATGAAATGTGTAAAATGTAGTGTAATATTTCCCCCAATAAATGATTCCTTGAACTTGATCAATTATCCAAGTGTCCTTGGAATTCAGCCATTGAATTGATTGTAGGACACTGACACTTGCCCAAGTTTAGTATTCCGACTAAAAAACGCACAACAAGTTTTACACGTTATAGAAAACAGAAGAGAAGGTCCCCGTCAAAATGTGAAAAAAAAAATTAAACTTTGAAACTTTATTCTAATGGCTACCATTGTTTCTTGTTTAGACTTAAAACTGAAACTTTTCATGTTTTAAGGTTATTGAACGTTTGATTTTCAAATCCTTCTTTGATATTTCTTATGTTCACAAGTAGCCCTTAACAAGAAACTTCAACATATTTCGTTAATGATTTTCTAAGAAATGAAAATAAAAGGAAAAAAGATAGAGAGAGAGCTAAACAAAAGACAAAAAAAAAAGAAAATGGTATAGAGAGCAAATAAGTTGGGTCCTAGGATTCCCGATCAATACCCAGCCATTCTCATATTTAACTGGGCATCATTGATCTTAAATCCCATAATTTTTAAATCCATTCCGATCCTCCCAAATTTCCTTTGGCTTTGGGCATAGATATCCTATTGAGACTTGGAATTATTTTCCGCGGGTAATTTGATTGGAAAAGAGTAAAAATAGCAGTATTCGACAAATACGGATTAAGCCCTCAATGCACTAAAGTCACTATGCCGTTGAGAGGTCATTTTCTGCAATTTATGAGAATGGTTTGACACCCAAAACTTTGACTTGCAGCTAGGCTCGAAACCGCAATCTCATTCCTAACGATACTGACAGCTTTGACCACTGATTTGAATAGTTTATGCCGACGCGAGGCACGGAGACAAAATAAGTAGTTCCGAGTAGGCCAAGCAGGTCTATCATTAAGTTCTGCTGGCATGCTAGCTGTGTGGGTAAAATGACTAAATCGTGTCCTGAGGTATTGTATGGCGGAAAGCCCATCTTAGCGTTATGGCAGTGCATCGAAGAGCGAGTAGTACATGCTTCAAGGGTCTGTTTGTTTGGAAGGAAAAGGTTTTCCGGAAAACATTTTCCATATTTTCTTTTGTTTGGTTGTCAATTATTTTGGGAAAATAATTTCCGATAGAAAATCAATTACACCCAGCGGATGAAAACAACTTCCTCATCTGTCTTTGTGAAGTTATTTTCCTTCCTGAAAAGCAGTCTTCTTTTTCGCAGCGACATCTGCTTTCCAAGATATATCCTTCGTAGGTAAAACAATACAAATAATAGAACTGGACTTTGGCATAAAGCATACTTAGCATGAATGCATTCTTCAGGAATAAAGTACCGTATTTTGGATGAAAATGACAGGCACGCACACACATGTATGCACACTGCATATAGATATTACTTATAATGAAGAGTAGCATTTTTTTGTTTGTTGAGAGGACTACCGGAACAAAAAAGAATGCAGGTTATGGGAGGATTGCCATTTACCAGTGCTGAGTTTCAGATAGCTCATAACCATTCCTCGACCTTCAGGAGTGTAACCTACCAATCTCTAGGATAATTGCAGAATATAGCTTAAGTTCTATTGGGCTATAGAAAGTGGACCGCATCTCAATATTGCTGAACAGGTAAGACAGGGACATTTTTATCTGAAACTTCTTTAAACACCTGCAGGGCACTTCTGTTTATGTGCTACTTTTTTTTCATGTATATCGGAAAGATATAATAACGTCGTTGATATAGCAAGGAATGAGCCCAGGAAGATGGTTGCTAATTGCCATGCACCTCTGAAGTTTCGTTGCATTATCTTTCTCTGCATTTTACTGTCTGTTAGTGATAGCACTAGTACCTCACTTGGCATTTCAGTGTTTAGTAATTAAGACTGGATTGTCTCTGCATTTGATGGATGCCCAAAATGTTCTAGGATATAATATGTTTCTAAATTAAAAGGTCAATCCCAAGATATCCCATGAACGATCAATCAGTTTCTTTTGAGGAGCATTTGAGACCCCTGCATCACTCTGCAATTGAGACCCCTGCATTACTCTAGCTTTTTCTGGTACACTACTAATAGTCTACTGCTACGTGAATTTTCATAGATGGATCCCTGTAGTGATGATGATGAGGATGCTATTGTAATTGGTGCTGCCACTTCAGTCCTAGCAGCAGGATATGCAGCTCTTGAAGTCTATAAAACTCCAGTTGTTATACCTAAACCACCTCATGTTAATAGGGAGCGAGCTAGAGAGGATTACATGGATAGCATATTATATGGAAGTAGTTCGTATTGTATAGACCAAATTAGAATGGACCAAACTACATTTTTCCAATTACTAAATACTCTCACCATTAGAGGATTATTACAACCTACCATTCATATGTCAGTAAGAGAGCAATTGTTAATGTTTCTGCAAATAGTTGGCTATAATTTGAGGTTTCGAGTGGTTGGGGGGTACTTGTATAGGTCAACTGAAACCATACACCGCTATTTTTCCATTGTACTTGATGCCATATTGAAACTATATCCAGATTTAATACAATTGCCAAATGGTGCGACTCCACGAGAGATCCGTAATAGTCGAAGATACTACCCCTGGTTTGCTGTAAGTCTAGTTCTTTGTATAAAAATTAATTAACTCAAATAGTAGAAATTATTTTATATCTAATTGATATCACAAAATAGGATTGTGTAGGGGCTATAGATGGGACACATGTTGTTGCAAGTGTACCCCTTGAAATTCAAGGAAAATTTCGAGGTCGAAAGGGTTACCCAACTCAAAATGTGTTAGCTGCTATTTCTTTCGACCTCAAGTTTTCATACGTGCTTGCTGGTTGGGAAGGATCGGCACACGATTCTCGTGTTCTTGAAGATGCTCTTACAAGACCAAGGGGTCTACAAGTACTGCAAGGTACTTGTCTTAATTTATGTGAGTCGTATAATTATGCAAAACATTGTTAGATTAGGCAAAAGTAACTTTTTTTTTTCAATTTTAGACAAGTACTATCTTGTAGATGCTGGATATGGCATTCGCAACGGTTTCATTCCTCCTTATTCTGGAGTTCGATATCACCTAAAGGAGTATGATGACAATCCCCCTCAAAATGAAAAAGAGCTTTTCAATCTTCGTCACTCCTCATTGCGAACAACCATCGAACGAGGCTTTGGTGTTTTAAAGAAACGATTTAAGGTGGTGGATAATGATCCTTTTTGGGATTTTAAAACCCAAGTAGATGTGATTCTGGCATGTTGTATCATACATAATCACATTATGGGTATAGCTCCAAATGACATGTTCATGGAAGAGGTCATTCAAGAGGAACAATCTGAAACTCCAAATGTTCTGACTGAACAAGCATCTTACACACAGCCTTATCAAACACAAAGTGAGAGACGAGCAGAAAATAGAGAATGGGCAAGGAAAAGAGACGCAATTGCACATGCTATGTATGTAGATTACATGCAAAGAAGACAAAGTAGATAATCTAGATGGTGGTTGTAGTTTCTTTTTTAGTTTAGTTTTGTTTTATGATAATGCTGGTTCGTTGGATGCCATGTAAGGTTGTCTTTGGCTCTATATGAGTGATTTATCTATTAAGAAGTGTCGGCGTTCTGCCTGCATATATATGAATAAATCTGCCTGATCATTGAAAGATTGCAGAATTTTTACAAAACTTCTGCCTATATGATTAACCTTGCATCTCTTGATTGTCCATTGAGAATTAACTTATGCTCTCCAGGGTCATGATTTTCATTCTTGTTGCAATTGTTAATGTTTCTGCAAATAGTTGGCTATAATTGTTATAAGTTTGTTTTATTGGCGATGACTATTGAAATTGATTAATTTTTTGAAGATGGGCAAGAAGGGAGAGAAACAGTTTAGGTGGTCAAGACCTATGGAGCGTTTGATGCTTGAGATTCTTGCCGATGAGGTGAAACTTGGGAATAGGCCTAACAATAGCTTTAAATCAAGTTCATTTACACGTGTGGTAGATGCCATGAAAGATAAGTTTGGGGTTACGTGCTCGGTAGACCATGTGGAAAATCATCTAAGAACAGTGCGATCATCTTGGTCCACCATAGTAAAAATTCGTGAAAAAAGTGGATTTGGCTGGGATGATACTTTGAAGATGATAACGGCCAGTCCTAGTGTGTATCATGCCTATATCCAGGTAATTTAATGGAGTTAGGAATGTCAAATGAGGACTTCTTGTTCTTTTGAATTTTTGCACTAAACCTGGATTTGTTATATTGTTGATTGAAATTTCTGGTTTATGATTACGCAGAAAAATCCAGGTCATGACAAGTATATCCAGAATAAAATCGAGTTGTATGATGAAATGGCTGTTGTGGTTGGGAAAGATCTGGCCACCGGGTCTTTTGCAAAATCATTTGTCGATGTGAATTTGGAAACTCCATTTGTTCCTAAGACAAGTGTGGAGACAAGTGAAGAGACAAGTGTAGAACAAAAGGATGTGACTAGTGCAAGATCCTCAGAAGTGAGAGCAACATCATCGGGAACCAAACAACATCGTAAAAGAAATCGCAGCAATGAAGACATTGAAAAGATGTCTCAACAACTTGGAGAAGTGGCAGCTGCTTTGAACAAAATTAGTGCAAACAAGCTTGATGTCAACCAACTACATGAAGAGATTATGAATATAGAAGGCTATAGCGAAGAATTTCTGGACTTGGTATTCGAGCATTTGGTGCAAAATGAGAAGCTAGGAAAAGCATTCATGGCGAAGAGTCAAAGACTTCGTTTGATTTCTCTCGAGAGGTTCAAGAAAGATTGGGGCGTCGAATAAAGTACGTGAACTGAATTATGCAATTGCCTTGTCAGAATAATTGTTTCTTCTTCGCTGGAATTGACAAAGTCAGGTTTAGGAAGCCAGTAATTGCAGGAGACACTTTGGTCATGAGAATGACACTCATCAAGCTGCAGAAACGCTTTGGAATAGCAAAGATGGAAGGAAAAGCCTATGTTGGATGTGACTTGGTCTGTGAGGGTGAATTTTTTATGACCACAAGCAGCAAATGAGTATCTGTAGCCTAGTTGGTTGCAAACGTTAGGAAACTTGTATTTTCTCCTTGCTTCCTGCTTTCCGCAATTTTATGTTTTCCAAGAGTCTGGTAGGTAGCTGCTTCTTGACAATTACAGCGACTCATTTGTATCGCATTTTAGATGGTATCTGCAGCATCTAGTAGAAGAACTCCGCTAAAATCTGTTGAGTATATTGAAGACAAATCCAACAGTTTTCTACATTAGGTAGATGTAGTTGTGACTGCCTGTATAACATAAGAATTCAAATGTTTTTGAGATTCAAAAAGCAGAGTTGGAATCTTCTTTGTTCGGCAGCTCTCATTTGTATGTTAGCCCAATCTCTAGATATTTACGCCAATGCTAAATATGACTTGGTAGGCGGCATATCTTTTACATCTATAGTTGGTTAACTAACACAGGCAATTTTTAACTCTTCTTTCCCAGCCAATTCATTAGTATCATTAATAATTTCATTTAAGAATTCATGGTGTAATATGAATAACTATTTTATAGAAATGATAATTTGATTATAATGGATAGAAACTAAAATTAACTTGTAATGAAATAAATGTTTTGAGAGTAAAAAAATATTTGCAACTTATCAACAAATATATCAGAAAATATTTTCAGTGATAAACCAAACACCGGAAAATTATGAAAAAAGGAATTTGGAAAATATTTTCACTTAATAACCAAACACTGGAAAATTATGGGAAAGGAAGTGATTTTCCAGGAAAATGACTTCGATGGAAAAGGTTTTCCCAAGGAAAATATTTTCAGTCCTACCAAACGGACCCCAAAAGATGCTCATTTTCTGGAAAACGTCTCTTTGACGAAAACATAGTTCACTCATTGTTGTTGAGCCAAGTGACAATGAACTCGATACCTATTAAGGTCTTGCTTTTTCGATTGCTTTAGATTTTATAAAATTTGATTATAGAAATTGATTATAAAAAATAATTAGTATCAGTAAAAACTACTATTTGGGTATTATAGATTTTAGCTACCAAATCTATAATCAGGATATAAAAGTAATAAAAAAAGTCACAAAAACTAGTTTTTCAACATCATAATCTATAATTGATTGGAATAATGAATCAAGAACAACCCCAACACTTTTATGAATGAAGAAAATAACGTTAGAAGAATCACTTTCAAAAGGGATCCGACTGTTTGACTTTAGATTAGTTAGGATCCGACGCGATTATCAGATTATGGGGGTATTACGCACAAAAAAAAAGGCATAATGGATTGAGAATGTGGTAAATCATTACAAATTGATGCTCATTCTTTTTTTTTTTTTTAAACTAGAGGTGTAAAATTTAAGAAACAAAAAGAAAAAATGGTAAATTTTATATACACTGATATTATATACACAATCACTGTTAAATTTATGATACATGTGCAAAAATTGGATTTTAAAGATAAATTTTGCATAGTTATCAGTCATCCAAAACTGATAATATGTACACTATTAGTGTACGAAAAATTCATCCAAAGAAAAAATTTAGGATATCTAGTTCTTGAATTCGCAATCTTAGTTAATGGATCATGACCCTCTCGACAAATGAATGTTTGTTAGAGCATTCATCACGTTGAAGTCTTCGTGAATGCATTAATGAATGATAGCTAATAAGACAAGCAGCGGTTTAAGCAGTGAAGCAGCAAGTTTTGACTTCTTGCAATGCCAAGATAGGACAGCAATATAAATGAAATTAGAAGGTCGCAATCGCATTTGAGACAACAAAAGGCTTCATATGCTGTTTGTCAAGAAAATTGGCTTAGGATGTTCACATTGTAAGTTTTCAATTTATATTTCTTTTTATTCTATTTTATCAAAAAAAAAAATCAATGAAATAGAACGTACATATGTTTCCCGGCAAAAGCTCTGTCAAATTCGACATTTACCAAAAGAACTTGAGGAGTACTTTTATTAAGTGTGTGTGTTTCTGATGCGCACTGGTTATGTGGCACTGTATATAACTAGTTTATCCCAAATGCCAAATTTGATAATTTTGACACCAAATAATGACTTGAGTTCCTACACCTTCTTCCTGAAAAATATTGCTTCATTTTACTCCATATTTGAGTACACCGTATTTGACGGTTACGTATGACCAGTTTGCCTTGCAATTGAACCATATATGTTGAACTAGGAAAAAGTGTTAATGCGAGATAAGGGAAAGAACCATTGTTTCGAAAATCGGACCGGACTGGCTAGTTCGACCGATTGGCCGTGAACTGGTCATAGTTTCTGTCCGGTTCATACCTTGGGTTAATTGAAGTTAAAAACTGGTAAGAACCGTTTGAACTGGATTGAACCATTGAACCGGTGGTTTTTTGTTTTTGTTTATTCAATTGAAATATATATATATCTATAAGAATAGGTTTTCCTTAACCCTAAAAACTAATTATTAAATGCCACATCCACTCGCTTTCTTCTCATTTTTTTGCCTTTTATCAAGTTTGCATCTCTGTTTTCTATTTTCCTGACTTTCTTCAAATTCCAAACTTCTTTTTTTTTAAAGTTATAATCTCTAAATCCCAAAAACGTAAATTAAAAATTTAAACTCATAATGTCTAATTCCAATGGACGTGAATTTTGTATAATTTTAGAATATTGTGGTATTTTTGGGTTGGATTTAAGATTAGTTTTTGGTAGATACAATTGAATTGAGATGAAATTCATTTGTTGCAACTTATAATTTAACATTTTTGTTTCTGAAAATCCAAATTCTTTGAAAACATTAAAATTTTCATCATATAAAATCTTAAATTAGTCCATTGTATGTCTTATTTTGTACATATATATTCATATAAATTATGTTTTTAAAAAATTCATTAAACCAAGATTGAATCAGTCTAACCGGTTGAACCTCTATCCGAAAACCTCATCGGTTCAATTAAGGTTCCAAGTTTTAAAACATTGGAAAGAGCTTAGACTACAAATGATGCAATAGAACCAAACTTGGAACTCATATTTAGGGAAAATTCTATGATTCCTTTAGGGAATTATTCCTTCAATTTGAATATCTCAAGAATGAAAATTAGCTATATTTTGAATTATTTAAATTGTTGCAATCTAAATGTCAAAATTACTTATTTCATTATCCAATGATATATTTAACTTGGGGTCAGTATGAAATCTAAATGGAACGCTAAAATCTGCCCTATTTAGTAGTATTTAATGTATGGGCAAAACTTAAAGAATAAAAAGAATACACAATTAGTTTTTTTTTTTTTTAAACAAAAGATTATCTTATTAAACGGAAAAGGCCAAAGTTACAAGCGCCCATGCTTAAAAACTAGCCCTCCCTCACAACAACCTAGCGGAGGGATGGCACTCCTAGCCTATCTAGAAATAAAGCTCCTCACGCTAAACGGGGCAAATCCGAAGCTGCCAAATATATATCGTCACGGGCCTGCTGACAACCAGAATTTGCCAATATATCCGCGACCTAGTTCGCCTGACAGTAACAGTCATCAATTGCTGCACCTCCGTGTGAATGCCCCATGGGCAATGTACTAAGCGATTCAAGATACGAACTAAAACCAACGAGTCCAGTTCAACGTCCAAGGTATCAATGCCCCTCTAGAGACACAACTTGACCCCAAACAACAGGGTGTGGGCCTCAGCCTGCATGCT